TGATACATAGCCTGGGGGAGGACCACAGTCCACAGCGCCCACGGTAGTCGTGCGGTACTTAGGCGTCACTGTCAGGAATAAGCTTAACTCCTTATGGATCTGTTCACTCAATTGTTGTTTGTCTCTTGTCTCCAAATGTAAGTGACAACTCTTGCTTACCACCCTCTCTAGAGCAGCACCTGACACACGATGATATTTGGTACATTGCTAGCCAGAGAATTACTGAATGAATGGATGTCCTCTGAAAAATTGCATGTCTGAAACAAATGGAGATAAGGCCAGAGTTCTCTGCTGCAACAGAGACTCAAAATAGCAATGTCTTCAAGAAAAACAGAATCCTAAAAATCCAACCTCATGGGGCAGTTCTGGTCTGTAGCTGTGACCAGAGTCCAAGTGCCTTTCATCTTGTTACTCTGCTGTGTGATCCAATGTAGCCCCATTCCAGCCAGCAAAAAAGGACAGAGGGCCTGTCCTTGCCCATTAAGGGCACAAGCAAGAAGTTACACACAATAATTCTATTGCCATTCCCTCAGCTAGAACTCATCACATGGCCACACTTAGCCACAAGGGATGCTGGGAAATGTAGTGTTTGTTGTAAGCAGCCATGTGCCCAGCTTAAGAGCAGGGATTCTGTTACAGTGAAAAAGAAGGGGTGAATGAATATTGGGGGGCCCCTAGCAAGGCCTGCCACCATCACCTTAAGAAAGGATGTTTTCCTCATCTTATCGTTACCTTCCTTGGACCTCACTGGACATTCCAACAGCCAGAAGAGAGGCAAAGGTCAATGTTTTAGCATTCCAGCACCACAGCTGTCTGTTTGCAAAAATCTGTCAGAGAACACGTACTGGCACAAGACTTCTGGAAGCCCATGCACCTTCTTTCTGGGTCTCCTCTGGCACAGGATAGCTCTCTGCCTGCAGGGGCTTTGTCAGTGCCCGTGGCATACTGCAGTTTGTTCAGCTGTCCATTCCTCAGGTGACCCTGGGTTACAAAATGAAAGCAAACAAGAGGCTATTTGGGAGAAGGAATGCCAAAGGACAAGACTGGGCTGTTTGTTTCCAAACCCGCCCTAAGTTGTCATTCAGAACGTTGACACAAAAGAGAAAACATGGCACCCAGGCTTCAGCAAGTTAGCAAGTTGGGTTGCCATGGTAACGATGATGAAACCATCTGACCTTGGATGGAATAGGTTGACCTAGACCTTCTCCCAGATGTGCCTTGGCAGGCCATGGAGGGCAGAGGGGAACCCCAGCATGCCATAATAGTGTGGACAAATTCTGTGGTTTGTGGACAGATGCAATATGCAGATGACACAAGCTTGCATGCTGAAAGGGAAGCTGACTTGAAGCACTTACTGATGAAGATCAAAGACTACAGCCTTCAGTATGGATTATATCTCAACAGAAAGAAGAGAAAATCCTGGCATTAATTACTTCTTCAAATTGTGCAGCCATTCTCACCCTCCTTTTCCAATTTATTCCTTCCCTATTGACATAGACTCACTTCCTCCTAAGCTTCCTGTCGAACCTTTCAAGTTGTTGTCAACAATTTGATCCCATATAGTAAGTTTTTTAAATAGCACGATGCTCACCAGGCATTCTTGACTAGTTAAGTTATACTGCTTATTTGGTTAAAGAAGGCTTCAGGGAATATATTTGGTTTATAGTTTCAGGGTTAAAGTTTATCTGAGAGCAGTAGTTTCATGCAGCATTAATGGCTTCAGAAAACCTGGATTCCATGAGAATTAAAATTCTGTTCCACCTCTTGCCCCTTTTGATCAGGATTCTTCTTTAGAATCTTTCATCAAAACTTTCAGTAATGGTAGCCAGGCACCATCTAGTTGAAGAAATAAATGAGTAAAAGAATGAATGTCCACAACCTACCATCTATATGATCTTGGGCAGGTTACACCGAGCTTCACTTTGTTTCTCTGTCTGTAAAATGTGAATAATAATTGTACCCTCCTCTCAGGATCAGGATGAAGATGAAGTGGGATGATACACAAAGTGCCTAACACAGTGCTTATTGCATAAAGCCTTCAGTAAATCCTCTAGCGAATGAATGAATGAATGACTCCAGTGCCCTTGTGAAGAGAGGCCATGTATGTGCTGCCATCAAAAGGCACTAAGCTGGGAATCGGAAGACCTGGGCTTGAATCTTCTTTGCTGCTGAAGCGTGTACCACAGCATCAACATCAGGGTTAGGGCAACCATTTGCATCCAGGGTTCTAAACCCTAACTGTGCATTGGAATCTCCCAAAGAATTTTTTTAAAATGCTGATGTTCTGTGGCTGCTTCTTTGTCCTCCTTTCTTTTGCTACCCTACCCCCAGAAAAAAAGGCCGCTGCTCTCATTCAAGCCACTATTCACAAGGCAACAATGGACTCTGGGAGCTTCTTGGTTTGATGTGGGTCACACTTCATTTGTTAGCCATCTGTTCTCCCCAAAGCTAGTGTAAATGTTTAAAAATGTGCCGGGCCCCTGCTTAGAAACTTCTGTTGGCTACACACAACTCCTATGTCAAATACACGTTCACTACCACGTGACCCAGCAATTCCACTCCTAAATATGTGCCCAAGATAAATGAAAACGTATGTCCACACAAGACTTGTATGAACAGCCTTATTCATAGACTAATAAAAACTAGAAACAATCAGAATTACCAAAAATTGGTGGGTGGATAAACAAAATTCAATAGACCCATAAACTCACTGCCGTGAAGTCCATCCCAACTCATAGCATCCCCTCCTTGGGTTTCCGAAGCATTATCTCTATAGAAGTAGATTGCCAAGTCTTCCTTCTGAGGAGTGGCTGGTGGATTTGAGCTTCCAGCCTTCTGGTTAGCAGTCAAATGCCTTAGGCACTACGCCTCCAGAGATCCCGATAGGATGAAATATTATTCAGCAATAAATACAGGCAACAACATGGATGAACTTCTAAAACATGCTAAATGAAAGCAGCAAAGAACTGTATATAGTCACGCACCATATAACATCCATTAGGTAATGGCTGACTGTGTGTACAATCATGGCCCCGTAAGGTTATACTAGGTTCAGAAATCCCATTCAGAGAATGAGACGTAGCAGACGTAACCAGATGTAGCGAAAACTGCAGCTTCCCATACACAACAGGTATGTATCTTGTGTCTCTTGTACACAAAGCAATTGCACTGCCAGATGTATAATGGTACAGTACCTATAGCTATGTGTCTTGAATAAACACCTCTGTGACTGGCTTATATATATACTGCCCTGGACTTTCTATCATTATTTTAATGTGAGCTTTTCCTACTTACAAATAAAAAGTTTATGTATAATTATGCTTCAACTCGTAAGCAGCAGCCTCCAATCTCATGTAACATGTGTCTTTTGAGTGTTGTAGCATCATCTCACTGTTTAATTTGCTTTCAAAAATATTACTGTAAAATCATCATGGCCCCCAAACACAGCAAAACCAGTGCTAGCGATAGCAGCTGTTGTTGTTGTTATGTGCCATCAAGTCGGACCCGACTCATAGTGACCCCTCCTTGAGTTTCCAAGGCGATAGCACTACGGAAGTAGATTGCCCAACCTTCCTTCCGAGGAGTGGCTGGCAAGTTTGAACTGCCAGCCTTCTGGTTAGCAGTCAAGTGCCTTAGGCACTACACTACCAGAGCTCCCAGCAAGGGGCAAAGGGAAAATATCGATTGGGAAGTAAAACAAACGGTTATTAAGCAACATGAAGGTGGGGAGTTGGTTAATGGCCACATCACCTAACATCTTATTTCACGGCATGGATTGCGGATGCCTCGCAACATACCTGTATTGTATGACCCCATTTATATGAAATTTCTAGAAAGGGCAGTTTCTAGATAAAGTGACTGCCTAAGCCTAGGAATGAGAGTCAGAGTTAATTGCAAGGCGATGGAAATGTTCTAAAACAATGAGGGGATTTTACAGTATGTAAGTTATGCCCCAGTCCACAGTGTTAGAGTGAAGCAGTCCAGCAACATGGAGTCATAGTGAGAACACAGACTCTGCAGCCAGACCACCTGCTCCAGTCCCAACTGCTGTCACTCCTGTCTATGTGGCCTTAGGCATGTTACTTAACTTTCCTGTGCCTTGGGGATAATCACTGCAGCCACCAAAGGGTTATCACAAAGATTAAATGGGCAAATACATAGAGAGAGCTCAGAGCAGCATCTAACACATATGAGGTCACTGTGGTTATTGCTGTTGTAGTCCTAGTCCCTTCTCTCTCTGGGCTCCTGCCTCATTGGCCCTTTCCCGTATCTCGAATCTGCCAAGCTTATATTTGCCTTACGGTCTGCCTTCTCAGTGTTTATCTGGTGGACATAGCCTTTCCACCAGGATTTTCCTATCACTTCTTCTTGTCATTCAAGTCTCAGCTCAAATGCCATCCCTGACCACCCTGTCTAGAATGCCACCTATTCATTCATTCATTACTCACTCACTAAAGCGTCTTCTAGTAGTTGCTGTTGTCGGTTCCCATCGAGTCAGTTTCTACACACAATGACCCCATGTGACAGAGTAGAACTGCCCCCACAGAGCTCTCTTAGCTGTAATCTTTACAAGAGAGATAGCCAGGTCCATCTCCTGTAAAGTCTCTGGATGGGTTCAAAACTACCAACCTTTCAATTAGGAGCCAACCATGTAACCTGCACCACCAGGGCTCCTTAGTGGTGGTGTTCTCATAGGTGGGAACATGGAAGTTCAGAGAGGTGAGGACATTTCATTCATTTATTCAAAACATAATCAGGGGGACCAGGATCAGCATTATCTCTCTCATTTCTCACCATAACCTGGGGAAGAAGAAGCTGTTTATAGTCGTCATTTGTCAAGGAAACAGAGGTTCAGAGACAATTGGCAACTTGCAAAGGTCACAGGTTCTATACCCACCTTCAGACCCCAAAGACTCCACCTTTCTGCTACATCCTTCTCCTTCACATCCCTCCTCAGCTTCAAGAAACCTAATCCGTATCCCTGTTCCTCCTTCCCACAGGCACAGCAGGAATCTATCAAGGAGCAAACGGACTGACCAACGCGGCTGGGTTCGGGAGCGTGCACCAGGTAGACCCATCTTCCCGCCAGGTGTTCTTTCAATTCACTCCTTCCATCAGGGCCCCCGGGGAGCCCACTGGCACACAGGATCTGCCCACCACGACCACTGGAAACCAGCCTCTTATTCCCTAGTTTTGGAGGCTGCAGGGGACAGATGTGCAAAAGGCCATTGGAAAGATGCAGTATAGAGGCAGAGACACTGCAATGACCACATTTTCAAAGTTGTAAGATCATGGCAATGTTAAATATTCAATCTTGACATGATCCCAACATGCCCATGAAAAATGCAAAAAGAGTGTGTGCTCTGGTGTGAGACTGTGAGCTTGTCCGAGGTTAAAAGTACATCTTCTTAATGCCTGGCTCCCAGCATCTAGTGCCCGGCACACAGTGGGTCCTCTGTAGATACTTGTTAATACAAACTAAGTCAATACTTAGTGCATACAGACTAATGTTTGGGTTCTCTTGGTTTTGCTTTAGAAAGTGAATAAAGAACTAACCTAATGTAAGGCACTACATTAGAGAGAGAAGTGGGCAGGTTTGAGAGATGTTGGAAGGCTAAGTCCACAAGACTTAGACTGGATATATGATGAGAAAGAAAGAATAACTCTAGGGTTTAGTATTTTATTTTGAGTCTGTTTTTCTTTGTATTGGGAACTTAGATCTTCGTTGTACTGACTCAGAGTTAAGGAACCCTGCTGATAGAATGGTTAAGCGCTCTGTTCAAACCCACCGAGCAACTCTGCAGGAGGAAGACCTGGTAATCTGCTTCAGTTACAGTTTGTTGTTGTTGTTATTTGCCATCGAGTCGGCCCCGATTCCTAGCGACCCCTCCTTGGGTTTCCAAGGCAGTTATCACTATGAAGTAGGAATGCCCAACCTTCTTTCCGAGGAATGGCTGGTGGGTTTGAACTGCCAGCCTCCTGGTTAGCAGTCAAGTGCCTTAGGCACTATGCTACCAGAGTTACAGCCACGAAAATCCTCTGTAGCAGTCACATGAGCCCGTGCTGAGTCGGAATCCATTGAACAGCACCCAACAAGAACATGCTTGACTTGTCCTATAATTCCCTTTTCCCCACACTCCACCAATCTGTGAGAACAATTGATTTTACATTATTAGTAATGTTGTGTCCTGGTTGCCCCTCTCCTGGCGAGGAGGGCCTCACATAAGCATTACAACTCCATAGCCTTGAGGGATGGGGGTTGAACAGTTTGATAAACATCATCCTTGTCACTGAACCATATATGTAACTACTGTTGACTGGGCAAAACTCCATAGCCTTGCACTAGGTATGTTGTTGTTGTTGTTGTTGTTAGGTCCGGCTGGGTCGGTTCCGACTCATAGCGACCCTGTGTATAATGGAACAAAACACTGCAGGGTCCTGTGCCAGCCTCACATCTTTGCTATACCTGAGCCCATCATTGTAGCCACTGTGTCAGTCCATCTCGTTGAGGGCCTTCCCCTTCTTTGCTGACCCCCCACTTTACTGACCATGATATCCTTCTCCAGGGAATGGTCCCTTCGGACATGACCAAAGTAAGTGAGATGAAGTCTGTTCATTCTCGCTTCCAAGGAGCATTCCGGCTGCACTTTTTCCAGGATAGATTTGTTAGTTCTTCTGGCAGTCCATGGTTCTTTCGGTGTTCTACACCAACTCCACAACTCAAAAGCATCAACTCTTCTTCGGTCTTCCTTATTCATTGTCCAGTTCTCATGTGCATAAGAGGCGATTGAAAATACCATGGCTTGGGTTAGGTGCACCTTAGTCTTCAAGAAGACATCTTTGCTCTCCAGCACTTTAAAGAGGTCTTTTGCAGCAGATTTGCTCAGTGCAATATGTCATCTGATGTCCTGACTGCTGCTTCCATTGGTGTGATTATGGAACCAAGTAATATGAAATTGGAAGAAGGAAGGGGCCATCCACTTCTCAAAGAATTGGCCAGTGAAAACCTTACGAAAAGCAGTGAAACACTGTCTGATATATTACTGGAAAACTTTATGTATAGCCCTGAAACATTGTTCATTTTATTTAGTGCCAGAAGATGAGCCCCTCAGGTCGCAAGGCACTCAAAGTGCAACTGGGGAAGAGCTGCCTCCTTAGAGTAGAGCCAACCTTAATGATGTGGATGGAGTAAAGCTTTCGGGACTTCCATTTGCTGACGTGGCACAACTCAAAATGGGAAGAAACAGCTGCAAACATCCATTAATCATGGAATGTACAAAGTATGCATCTAGGAAAATTGGAAATGGTCAAAAACGAAATGGAACGCATAAAGGTTGATATTCTAGGCATTAGTGAGCTGAAATGGACTGATTTTGGCCATTTTGAATCAAACAGCCATATGATCTACTATACCGGGAATGACAAATTGAAGAGGAATGGCATGGCATTCATCATCACAAAGAATGTGTCAAGATCTACCCTGAAGCACAATGCTGTCAGTGATAGAATAATATCCATACACCTACAAGGAAGACCAGTTAATACTACTATTCAAATTTACATGCCATCCACTAAAGCCAAAGATGAGGAAATTGAAGATTTTTACCAACTTCCACAGTCTGAAATTGACCAAACATGCAATCAAGATGTGTTGATTATCACTGGTGATTGGAATGCAAAAGTTAGAAACAAAGAAAAATTACCGGTAGCTGGAAAATATGGCCTTGGTGATAGAAATGATGCTGGACATCACATGATAGAGTTTTGCAAGACCAACAACTTATTCATTGCAAATACTTTTTTTTGAACAACACAAACAACGGCTATACATG